GTGGCTCAGTGGTTGAGTGTCAACCTATGAACTAGGAGGTCACAGTTCGATCCCCAATCAGAGCACACGCCCGGGTTGTGGGCGGTTGTGGGCTAAACCCTCAGTGTGGGATGTGCCGGAAGCAGGAGGCAGCCGATCAATGATTCTCTCATCATTGATGTTCCTATCCCTCTCTCCCTTCCTCTCTGAAATCAATAATTTATATATTTTTATATATTTATATATATTATATAAATTTGGTAACTTATGGGCACAGTGGTCTTCCTCGGAAGAGATGTCAAGATTGCATGCTACAAAGTCACATTTCTCTGGATTATCTCTTTGGACTTGAACACAACAGCCAGAGAAGTGAAAGCCTCTCAGTGAGTGTCCCAGCCATTCTCTCTCCAATGTCTTCCCTTTCTGATGGTCCGTCCCAGCAGCATGATGTGCCACGACAGCCACCGCTGTTCCCAGGAGTCCTCTGCGCACCTGAGCAAGTCCTTCCTTCCTAACGTTTCAGACACACTTAGGATCGCCTGGGACTCTTACTCCACATTTGGTCTAGAGAGCACATACATCAACAGGAGCTGCCCTTTCATTTACCGACAGAATCAAATGCATTAATTAACCAAAATTTTTAAAAAATGATAAGTCAAGGTGGGAAAACACAAGTTAGACAAATTGCTTGTTGAAACGCTCTAGTCTTTCTAGTGGCACTCAGAGACCCATTTTGGTTGGAAATGAAAATCAGAAACATTAGAGATTTCAGCTTGTTAGGTATCCCTATCTCCACTATTCTATGTAACAACTGTTTTCCACCTTGTGTGAAAAATACACGATCACAGAGATTTCTCCAGGTAGTAAATAATGGCCAATATTATGTGATGTTGACTAGAAAAGAGAATTTTGAAGAGAATGCATTGTCTCCAATCTATCACTAAAATGGAGCTAACGCTACCTAGCAATCCCATTTCTAGATTGTACTCAAGTGAAAGATTACATTCACACAAAAACCTGTTCACAAATGTTTCTA